ATCTTAGTTGACAGTGCAAAATTGAGCCAGGTACAATTTTGGACTTTGGCTTCAGAAGAGAGTTTTAAGGGCAATTTATCAGGCATTGGTGGAATGAGTCGATCTGGCTGGCGTTTACATGTGAACACTACCAACTCTGTTGGGTTGACCCCTTAGCCATTACATAGGGGGTTAAATGGACAAGTGGACATATCTGGACAATTTTCTGCCAGAGGTATAAGAATCTATTATGAACTTTTGATATCCAGATTTTTGAAAAAAAAAAAATGGCCTGAAATTATGAAAATACCAAGTACCATTATATGGGGGCCATACAAAAACGTGGAGAAATAACTACCCCTTATGAACTTCAAATACCGAATTTAAAACAATTCAATTTTCGAACTTGGCTTGACTGCAGAAATAATACATAACCATGTCAAATTTTAGCTTCCTATCATGCACGTTACCACGATTAAAACAGAACGACGAGCACAGTTACAAACGCAATGACAAGCTAAATATACCTTCCATATCATCCCATCTATAGCAAGTAAATATTTAAAACGTATTGACAATGCTTTGATTTTTCGTTTGTTTTTTGTTTTCCATTACTTGTGAGTGAAAGAACTGAACTGCTTTCTCTTACTTGGCACACATTCTCTTCAGTTTAAGAGAATCAAAGCCCACAACACAGAGACACGGCGGAGAAATGTTTTGCTGTTGTAAAAAACACACTTACACCGTTATTGTCACTCGCTGCAATGATGTTTTGATGCAGCGTGTGTTCCACATACCATGGCCAACACTACAGGTGACATTGTCCACATTCCAGTGGGTTTTTCTTTCCACTTCATGTTGTTGGCCTAGACGAAGTTGGTTGTGTTTCGAATGCATTTCTTAGCGACGTCACGACAACATTGAATGAAAACTGGAATCATATCTTGGCAACAAATTGCGCTAGAGGAAATTGTCTTTAATACATATTTGAATCGAATAAAATTGAGACAAAGTTTTGAACGTATTTAAGACAATGGTGATATGTGTGTATGTATATTGCAAGATTTTTTGCTAATAAAGGGTGTCTCAACAAGAACGCAATTTTGAAAATTTAAAATAAAACACACATATTTAAAAAATACTAACATTTTATTATATTCTAAAGTAGACAGAATGAGATTATGTATTGGCAATATACAGGGTGAGATTAAAACACTGCAACCAACTTCAGACTGCTGTCATCTCTAGAGAATATTGCAATCATGGTACAATGAAGAGAAGGTAGGCCAATTTTAAAAAAAATTGCAAGTATAGAGGTTTACCTGTTTGGCTTGTAATGTCAGAATTAGTATCAAAACAATAAAAAAAATCAAACAACTTGTTGCATTTATTTTGAATAAATAATTGAAAAACGCGATAACTTAATGAAAGGTCAACACTTTTGAAAATCATGTTCTATACATCTCTAAAGGATTATTTCGCTACAAAAACTCTAGATTTTGTCGATGCATACGATGAAATAAACATTTTGAAAACACCCAAATTTGAATATTTTCTAAACAATTTTTTTGTTATTGAAAAGAAAACACATATATAAACAAATAAAGATGACATATTAAGATAAGAAAATAAAAAAAAAAATAAAATCATATGGTATCATAGGCCTACCTTTATATCATTGTACCATGATTGCAATAACTTTCCTATGTTGAGTTTTTTACTTAAATTTTTTTATTTTTCAAACAAAAATATAATCAAAATTAGCTCAAAAATTATTTTGCAAAAATAATTATTAAAAATGATTCGTATATGTCTTTTTATGATGGAGAATAAGATACAACAACGGTAGTGTGCGTACTTACCCATCTATGAATATACGAGTCCTATATTTCTATTACCTTCTCTTCAAAAGGTTAAAGATTTCCAAAAAAATTTACACAAAAATCTCATAAAACGCGAGGGGGTACCTAATGTAGTGGTACATGGTAATAATGTTATCATAAACTAATATCTGACAGCTGAGTGGATGTATCCGTTAGGAAACCGACAGTTACTCTCTGACAAGTCAACGACCCTCTACTTGAATTTTACCATAAGGTGATACTCATTGAGGTAGACATGCACTTCTTACAAATTAATTCAACTGGTTGAATATCCAGCGTTCTTATCGGATTGGGGAGGTTTCTCTGCCAACGTATCAGTTTCGGAGATAGATAGCTGCATTAAGGATATAGATTCCGTCTTTTGAGATAACATTAATGCCCAAGAAATAGCACAAAGTACTTACCTACTCTAGGGCCTTAAGTTTTATTAAGCTCTGTCGGCGGTTGCGTAGATATGGTGATCCTGAGCGACAACTAGTTATCATGGCCGATATCTGTAAAACTCGGCCAGATTATTAAAGCCAATACGTTTAGAACAAAAACCTTCTCAAGGGAATAAAATCAGTCATATGATGTAGAGGAAGATAGGAAGTAAGCAAATGTTGCCATACACTTAGATATATAAATTCCAGTCGTTTGGCTTTGATTATCAAGTCTGTAGAATTGTCGCAAATTTTTCCTCTATTCTCTAGCCGTTGCCCAGTGTCCCTCCCCATCCTATATTATATTCGTGTGACATTCCGGCTTCTCCCCATAAGGGGAGGCCAATAGGCGGCCTCCGTCGCTACTTCCTTAAGGGGCGAATAAGGTTGAAGTCGACCAGGCATAATCTACCCCATTTTAGAAGATTTTAGCCGCCTGCGAAGATATGTCAATGGACAATGTCCTGCCCAGGAACAAACGTCTGCATTTCAGAAACATTGGAATCTTGATGATGAGGGATGGTATTTTCAAAGTTTGGACCTTGGACCACTGGTTGCTAATTTACTTGTTTAGTTCTACAAAAAAAAAAACTTCCAATCAACTGATAGGTGAGGTCCAATATAAAAATGATTGCCATTACCGATTTTGCAAATAAGATGACCCTGTGAATTCTGCCATGCATACTTTTTTATAGCCCTTTTTAATAATTCTATTTTTGGAGCATATATTTAGTGTAGCCTGTAGGCAATACTCCAGTTCGTTGTGTCCACAAAAATATTGTGGTACTTTTATTTAACTTTTATTTAGGTTCAAGCCATTTAATCTATGTCTGTGTTAAGATTTGAATAAATGAAAGGAAAAAAACAAGTAAAAAAGCAGTAAGTTCGGCCGGGCCGAACTTTGAATACCCTCCACCATTTGGAACGAATTAGAAAATTTTCAAAAAAAAAAAAATAAAATCCATTAAAAATTCTTTTAAAATCTTTAAAATATCTAATATAGGAAGGTGCCGATATGGGGGATATACGATATTGTGGACCTATAAAGACAAATCTATGTCTGCGTGTAAAGTACTCAAAAGGAACTCCTGGTGTGGATATTCAGATAATTCCATTGGAAAAAGTGGCTAAAATCATCAAAATACGGAATATAGGGGAGTACCGTTATATGGGGGATATACGATATTGTAGACCTATATAGACAATTCCGTTTCAGGGGTAAAGTGCTCACAAAGAACTCCGTGTGTGGATTTTCAGACAATACGATTGGTAAATGTGGCTAAAATCATCAAAATACCGAATATCGCGGGGTATCGTTATATGGGAGCTATACGTTATCGTTAACCTATATAGAGAATTCTCTGTCGGGGGGTAAAGTGCTGACAAAGAACCCCTTGTGACCATTCCGTTGAAAACTATGGCTAAAAACATCAAAATACCGAATATCGGGGGTACCGTTATATGGGCTATACGATATCGTGGACCTTTATAGATAATTCTCTGCCGAGGTATAAAGTACCCACAAGGAACTCCTTGTGTTGATTTTCAGACAATTCCGATGAAAAATGTGGGTAAAATCATCAAAATACCGAATATCGGGGGGTACCGTAATATGGGGGATATACGATATCGTGGACCTGTATAGACAATTCTCTCTCAGGGGGTGAAGTACTCACAAGGAACTACTTGTGTGGATTTTAAGACTAATCCATTGAAAAGTGTGGCTAACATCATCAAAATACCGAATATCGGGGGGTACAGTTATATGGGGGATATACGATATCGTGGACATATATAGACAATTCTTTTTGAGGGGGTAAAATGCCCACAAGGGACTCCTTTTGTGGAATTTCAGACAATTCCATTGAAAAATGTGGATAAAATCATCAAAATACCAAATATCGGGGGTACCGTTATATAGGCGCTATACGATATGGTGGACCTATATAGATAATTCTCTGCCGAGGTATAAAGTACCCACAAGGAACTCCTTGTGTGGATTTTCAGACAATTCCGATGAAAAATGTGGTTAACATCATCAAAATACCGAATATCGGGGGGTACAGTTATATGGGGGATATATATCGTGGACCGATATAGCCCATCTTCGAACTTGACCTGCCTGCAGACAAAAGAGAGATCTGTGCAAAATGTTAGCTTACTATCTTAATTCGTTTAGACTGCAGCGTGATTACAACAGACAGACAGACGGACGGACAGGGCTAAATCGTCTTAGAATTTTACGCTGATCAAGAATATATATACTTTGTTGGGTCTAAAATTATTATTTCGATGAGTTACAAACGGAATGACGAACTTAATATACTCTCCATACTTTTTTTGGTGGAGGGTATAAAAAGAAAAGACTTGTTATTCTAATGTCTGCATATACCTATGTTCATATGCAGACAATAGGATTATACAAATGGAAAGTTCTTTGGATCAGACCTCTGATAAAGACGATCTATCCTATGGTATCAATGAAAACTATAGCATAAAAGAAACAAGGAAAACGAGATATTGATCTGATTGATACACTTTCAAACAATGCAAAAACTCTGTTTTTCTCATTCTGGTGATTTCATAGCTAATGATTGTTATGTATGACGTTTGCCCAGTTGCATTAAAGAAAGATACAATCTTTTGCAACAACAATACCCAACACCTTGAGAATTTTAAATTAAAAAAATGTGTTAATTTTCTTAACTTTTTGCAGGCATGTGAATTTCATTCATTCGTATAACCACTAAACGTTACAAACGTACGATCTCTGAGTGAAACGCGTACTATTTTGGAATACCAACAAACATACATAGTGACATACACATTCGAATGCATGGAGGCCTTTATGAGAACAACAAATCGATTAGCACCTCGATGATTACCTATGGATGAAGAGTTTTGCTCCACCATCGTCAACTGAAGCGATAATCACGATACACCTCCAATCGTTATTTGCAGCAACAGCAACGCGAAAGTGAAAAATAAAATAAACCGTTGAAAGGAGTCAACGACAATGGTGCTCTTCAGTGGTCATCGTTCTCACAGAATTTGGTGAGTATTGCTATTGATTCTCAAAAAAACAAACAAGTATCACTGATGAATTGGGGGTTTTGTGTCAAACATTTTTGAGAGATTTTGTTATTCATCTTAATGCATGTGTACCCATATTACAAATAAAAGGTAAGGTAAGGTGCGCTCGAATTCTGCTAATTTTGTGTATGTATTTGTTGTTTTGAAAAATGAAAACAAAATATTTTCAAAACCAATGATTGGAAGATACGTAGAATTCGGCTCGCTCATTAGCCATGAAATTGAAAGATTGAACAGTTTGGATCATGTTTTTGAGAGAAAATCCGGGCATTTCATTCATTTTTCGGGCTATACGACTCATTTAAAATTGAGGAATAATATGAAAAAGAAATGAAAACAAATTGTTGTATATAATTTTGAATGAGTCTGCCAGGAGGCGGGCATAGCCTCAAAGCTGTATTTCTGTAGATTTACGAAGCTATTCTAACTCCTTGTTGTACCATGAGTGTACCTAGCAAGTGCTCGCTGCTCGCTACTTCGGCTTCATCTGTTCACCCTAAGCCAAACTATTCCAATTTGAGTACCATTTAGTGCAGTTCACACATTTAGTACACATTTTCAAAATCACCTTCATATGCAACCTCGATTCGCATACCAAGTCTTATTTTCCAAATAGAACCATTTAGAAGTTTAGTACCATTTTAAGACTTTCCGTAACCTTAAAATTCGAATTTCAAAAAATTGATTCTCAGCTAGTCAGTCAGTTATTTCACTACAGGGTTGCCCATATTCGACGGACCCATCTGGCAACGCCATAACTTTTGACAGAGATGTCACATTGCTTAATGACATACCGCGTTTAAAGCGTCAGTCCAAGCAAATTTTTACCATGAACCAATACACGCCACACGAGCGCTCTGAAATAGTTGAAATTTACAAGAAGTCAATTGTGAAAACTAATCGTGCTTTTAAAACATTAAAAAATGTGAGAAGTGCGCCTTCTAAGAACACCATTAAGCATTTATACGAAAAATTTTCGACTGGTAAGGCTCTTTCTAATCCGAAGAGGCCATATAAAAGTCGACCAAGGCGATCGGCCGAGAATATCGCTGCCGTACGAGCCAGTGTTGAGAGGTCCCCAAGAACATCCCAAAAACGCCGTTCTCATCAGTTGGGAATGGCTCGGTCCACTTTACAACGGATTATTCGCATTGATTTGCATTTGTTCCCGTACAAAATTCAATTGACGCAAAGAGTGTTGCCTGCGGACAAGCCTCGTCGATTGGAATGGGCCCAAAGGTCCGTCGAATATTGGCATCCCTGTACTCGTTACACGTGAACACCTCATAATATACATTTTAGACCCCACAAAGTACATATATTCTTGATCAGCATAAAATTCTATGTCAATTTAGCGATGTCCGTCCGTCTATCCGTCTGTAGAAATCACTGTAGCTTAAGAACGAAATGAAGTAGGTTGATAAAATTTTACTCAAATATGTATTATGTCTGCAGGACTTTTGGTATTGAAAATGGGTCATTTAGGTGCACGTTTCAGTATAGCCCCCATATAATAGTACCTCCCTTTTCCGGTATTTTGGTGATTTAAGCAACATTATTCACCGGAATTGTTTCAAATTTGGTGTTTGAAGTTCGTAATGGGTACTAATTGTCTATGCAGGTCCACGTCTTCGTATAGCCCCCATATAACGGTACCTCTTTATATTCGGTATTTTGATGATTTTAGCGACATTATTTACCGGAATTTGAATATTGTAATGGCTTATGACAAAATTTATCTATGCAGGTCCATGTTGTCGTATAGACCCTAATATAATCGCAAATTCGTTCCAAACGGTGGAGGGTATTTAAAGTTCGGCCCGGCCAAACTCATTTTTTTTTTTTTTTTTTTGAATACGTTACTTATTGACTATTTCTTGTTTCAAGTTATCGAATTCGATGCTTTTTTCAGTTATCCAACAGCGATAATGCTGTAATTAGTATTTTTTAAAATATTCACAAAATAATTTCCATTTTCTGTTTTTTTTTTTCAAATCATCATAAATCTTGTTTCAAAGACAAGAAAATATTCTTCGAATTCGATATACGTGGGTTACTTTTGTCAGCCATAAACATTTGTTGTGTTAATTCATTTATTTGGTTATAAAACGTTTATCGTTTAATTTATGCAAATACGGCCATTGAAATGTGATAATGGCGGAGCTGGTGTTCTATTGGACCATGTCTATCGAAAAAGTATGACAGCCAGAGGTGACGTATACCCTTGAAAATGTAGAAACCGAAACAAACATCCATATAAGGTCTAAAAACAAAACGCAGACAAATATGAGTGGAGAAATTTACAAGCTAATTGCTTATAAACATTTTGGAATAAGAAATGAGATTATAATACTTACGATTTACTCATGTGTGATTATTTAACATTTGTTTCTAACTTTTTATCAAACACTCTTTGAAAAGAAATAAGACGTAATTGGAAGGCAGTGCAGATATTTTGAAATATAATGTACTTATCGATGAATCCCATTGTCAAGTAATGGGTGAATCAGGTCCTTCTTATCCCTTAACACTACAGGGTGAGATAAAAAAGGGCGACCGCCCTTATTTTTACTTTTTTTAAATTTTATTGAATGAAAGAAAAAAATGTCGAAAATAGCATCAAATTTTAGAATAAGTCTAGTTTTGTTCTAATTGGTCACCTTAGGCACGAATTATGGCCTTCAAACGGCCAACGAAACCGTCACACGCTTCCCGAATGTTGCTCTGCGTATTTTGGTCCATTCCCGCCGAAGCGTCTGCTTGAGGTGATTGACACTTTGGTATTTTTTAGTTCTTGCACTTTACCCCAGCTCGTTTTTCAATATTTGCCGAATGGAATATTGCGATATGTTCAGCTCACGAGCCATTTTTTGGCCACTGCGACGCGGGTTTCGATCAAGTCGCTTCTTTACTTTTCGAACAATTTCTGCTGATTTTGCTGTTTTCTTCCGTCCACTTCTTTGACGTCGGGCTACGGTACCAGTATAACTATAGTTCATCTATTTTTTTTGCGGCTATAAACGCTGCTTAAAGGTCATTACGGGATTTAAATTATTAATATTTCTGTAGAAAGTTTAGCATAGACGGTGAAACAAGACTGTTGCTTTTCTCAATAAAAATATTTTTCCCTGAAGATGACTGTCGAAGACAGTCGAAATATCGGAAAATAAAAATCAAAATTATAAAAAGAAAACACTGATGTTTTTCAATTGACCTTAAGCCAAAATAAAGTTAATAAGCTTCACAATTGCAAAAGTGTGTTCCTAAATTGTATTTTTTCAAACGCCTAACGCGGTTTTACAAAATTAGAAAAATATGCTTAATTAATCCACGATCCGTATTTATGTACCTACATCTGCATGTGAGTGCCCCACTAAATGTGCGCATTGATGAAGAACGGAGATTACCAAGAACAGCGGGTAATGGAAAAAAAAAACATTGTGCGGAAGGTCAATATTGCGTCGCAGCTGTAGTGTCGAGTAATACAAAGATGTCGTACATCGTTGAAGCCGGTTTCTGGTAATTATATTATTTTGAACGTTTTATTGCTCTAAATTGAAATTAACTGGGCGATGACTCATCGATGGCACTCTTATCAAAATATTCTTCCAGTTTTCCTTTTTTATTTTCGCCGAATAACCTCCTCATTAAGTTGTTAAAACTTGTCAAATGAATTTGTTTTCGGGGAAGCACTTCTTCCACAAAATGCCATTTCTACCAAATTTTATGAAAAATGAAATTTGTTATCAAAATAAACAAAAAGCACAGATTGATTTTGAGTTGGAATCAACTGATAAAGCATCAATCAATTCACACTTTCCGGTTTTATTGTCGATTATATTATCGAAGCATAAATAAACATTCAGACAAACAGATCCACATACAGACGAACAAACAATGGAATCCCCCCAGAGTATTTTTATTTTATCTCTCTTTTTTTGGGCATAGGTTAGTCAAAGATTTTAAATTAGCTTGAATTTTATATTTAAAACAGACCAACAACCAGTCTTGAATGAAATGGAATGAAGAAAAGCAACAACAATAATTCTGAGAACATTTCCAATTAAAGAGTGTTATGGAATTGAAGGGGACTGGCTGTGTAGGTCTGTGGCATGGACTCAGCTGCCAATCTGGGAGAATGTGGTATTTCCAAAGAAATTCTCCATAACCCAATTTCGTTGGTCTACGAAAGTAGTAAAAAAATCAATATTTTAAATTTTTTATAAGGCGATCAAGAATGAAATTTTGATGCAAAGAAAAAACTGCTAATTTCACCCTGTCAGTGCCGTGATAATTTGCATTATGATAATTTAAATGTTGACCTCGAATGGTACCGAAGAAGTATTTTTAAGAGTAGGTTACGAATATTTTTCATTTCGTACCAGATATTGACTATTCACTCAATACTAGATAAGTAATCATTTGTGGAAAATATTGAAATGTTCGTGAGGTTCTAGATATAGTGGACCGATATTTGGTGCAAAATGTAATGAAAATCGAACATTTATTTTCAATTTTACGCGAATATGTGTTAAAAAAATTTAACCATTTTTCTGAATAAGGAACCAGAATCAGTTCACATCAGATCTCCGGTTGAGATAAATATTTCAATACAGGACGAATCTCTGACTTGTTTCACAAATTATAACAAATATAGTTATTGAAAATTATGACCCTTTTCTGGGGGAGGTACCAGAAGGAATGGACCGATATATTCCATCTTTACAGCAGATCTTGTGTTGATATAAGTATTGGGATGCTTTTCTCCCGTTTTATGAGTTTTATTCATTTTACCTGAATTAGCACTGATAAATAATTGTGATTTGGAAAGTTTGCGCAAAATTGGATTATATTTTTTGTAAATTAATTTCTGTGAAATGTTTAATCTTTTGTGGGGTTGGTACCAGAAGGAGTGGACCATCTCCGAGCTCGACAGCCAGCCAGACAGACAGACGAGCAGC